TGGGGCCGCTCCGCGCTCAGCATCGCGGGGTGAGGGGTGGTTGGTGGTGGCAAGGAGTGGAGAAGGTCTTAGCCCGCGGATGTAGTCGGGGTCTTAACTCCCCTCTGTTTTCTGCTTGCTTTTTAGGTCACGAATCAGGTAAGTAGCTTTTATTTACGGTAATCTTTAGTCTCTCCGCAGCTTTAGGCCCATCTCGTTTCGTTTTCATGTAGTAAAGGCTCCTGCTTCTCCAATGAGAGTAACCCCTTCCTGCCGTGCCGGTGTCCGCGTTCAGTCTTCTAGTATTGGACTTCTGATTCCTCTGGCTACATATGGTGTCATGTAAAGATAATATATGAAAGAAAAAAGAAAGTAAAGAAAAAGAGAATAGTTGTGGTCTGGCTATTAATGTAATCTCTGTGTTTCAGGGTGGGTTTCAATTAATTAATGAATTATTAAAATGTATTATATATGTATGTATATAATGTGTGCCAGTTCTGGACCTGTATGTGATGGCTTTGCACACTTGTATGGATATACTTACGTCATTGTGTCACAATCTCTTTTTTTTTTTTTTTTTTTGGCTGACCATAAAAAATAATGTCATGTTATTATATTGGCACTTTGCCACCTGTTCATGACAATATCTGCATGATTTGTTGTTGCTGTATTTGTTAACATAGTAGAATCCACATTAGAGAAAGGAAGCTTGTTCTAGTCCACAGGATAGTGTAAGTACTGAAAAAATGCTAGCTGAAAGGAAATCACACATGCTTCAACCCTGCCTCACGTTCTCAGTGATAATCGTAACTATCTTTAACAAGCATTGGGGTTCAGGTGTTGGTCCCAGCAGGCCTGCTGATAATGTTAAGAATGGTGTTTAAGCCAAAAGACTCTGAAGCTTCCAGTAGTAAGATGACGTTCTTAAAATTATGTTTTTGAAATATTTTGCAAATTAGAAAATTTCTTTGTGCGAAGAATGTAATGTTTTTTGTTGTTGCTGTAATATGCTGACTGAGTCTGCAGGAGGGTGAAGGTTTTTTTTGATACTGGGTCATTTTTGTACTTGGCTTCATAGTTTCCTATAATATTATAGTTTTTACAGTATTGCTGCAGTAGAGCAATTTGAGAAGTTTCTAATCCCAGTTCTGAGTTAAAATTGACAACCATTTCTGGGAGCTTTCCTTGAATGTTTGCTATGATTTCCTCATGGTTTAGGTGTTGTTTTTTTTAAATTTAATTTTTGAAATTCAGAGGCTATATATCAGTTTAGAAGAAAGAAAATGTGAATAAACACTACTAGAATTTCAAATTCTCCAACTTCTTCTCACATTCCAGATGTTGAGATGAGTTCATTATGGTCCTAATGAAGTCCAGTCGTCTGCAAAGTAAAACTGAGATGGAAAAACTAGTGACTGACTTTTTAAATCTGAGTTATCTTGTATCCCTACAGGTTTATGTTGTATGGAGAAAATCCTAGAATAATGTTAAATGAACAGTTCTGTGGTCAGAATCTCTCTTCTGCCCATTGGCTTTGCACTGATGATGGATGGTATCTGTCAGTTGTGGTTGATCATGGATTATAGGAACTTTTACTTCACAAGGAAAAGGCCACTTTAGACCAGTTGAACTTCCTTCTGCCATGTATTTTGCCAGTCTTAACAAGCAGTGGTTGTTGTCATTATTTAGACTGAGAGGTGTATGTTTAAAAAGAAGGGGGTGTAGTCAATGTTGAATATGAATACATCTTGCATTATTTAGTCATTGTTCTTTTAATCTCATCAGTACAGTGGTAAACTAACAACAGGGCTGTTAGTCACTAGTTATTCATATCCTGTTTAAAACAACCATAATAGTAATTAAGATTCAGATGAAGTTGCAGAAGCGTTTTTAAAAAGTCTTGTGGAGTTAATTGCAAGGACAGACTTTTTTGTGGTACTCTGTGCTGTGCTCTGTAAAATACATAGAATTCTTTGGGGGGAAAAAAGCCCCAGAGTGTTGTGCCCCTAACATCTACAATATATGTGTCCAGTAGTAGTTTAATGCATGTATCCCTTTACACAGGCATCTTGCTATGTGTTTCATGTTGGGTTTTTTCTATTCTTTAATTGTATTTTATTTGTCTAACTTGAGTATTAGGATATACTACTTCTGTTAAGTGTTACTGTTACTGGTAGGTGTGGTAGTGAACTCCTAAATCCCCCAAAATTCCATGCACCTGTAAGATGGGTAGATTTTAAGTATTAGGTTCTAACAAGAACTGTCATTGTGATTTAACAAATGCTTAGCCTATTTTGTTTTTTTTTTACTAATAATTTGATTCCATTATTTAATAGTAAGTAGAAAGGAAATATACTAAATGCATGGTCTTTTGCTTTTCCTATGTTCTTACCGTACTGTGTGCTCTCTAGTTTTGAAATGTATGTTGTAAATTTTAGACTCTTTCAACCTTTATGGTAGAAATTCAGGTGATAATGGAGAAGAACTGGTGTTTTTCCAGTTATAAGGTATGTAAAATCTTTGCAAAATACCTTAAAAGTTTTTCTCTGTCTGAAAGTATTTATGTTATAATACAGGTCTAGGAATTTCGATATCCTTAGTGTATATTGGGCCTTTCTTTATGCATATGTGTTAGAATTATTTAAAGGTTCAGAAACTGGTGAGGATAAAAAGGAATGTTCTTTCTTAGCATTAAAGATTTCCAATGGCAGTGACTCACTCCGAATACTGTAGCCACGTATTTGTAGTGATGTTTTTAACAGAGAAGTCAGTGTAGCTAAATGTACTACACAGTGCTAATTTGTCACATTTTTTTTTCTTCCTTCCACTTCTGCAGTCTTACAGAATGAATTGTTAGTCCACCGCTGATACTGAAAGATTTGATGATTCAGCAGTTAAAAAGCTCTACTTTGTGTACAGTGATGACAGAGAATGGTTTCTTCTCTTTGACCTTCTGCTGGGGTGGGGTTACATGACCAGTGCTACTCTTCTTCCTCAATCTCTTATGAGACTTTCCTTGCTAATGGGAGAGAGAAAATAAGAAAACGTGTTTTGACTGTTCACTGGTGATGTTTGGCTGCTTACCTTGTTCTCAAGTTCTTCTACCATGGAAAAGAAAGTCAGATTGCATACAAATTTTTGGAGTTAAAAGATGAGACATAAGCTGATTGTTCTTCATCATGATAATCACTTCAGTCTATCTTGCAACCCATGACTGATTCCCTAGCAAGCACAGATAAACAGAAAAGTGGTATTGGTTGGTATCTTTCTTGATCTTCCACCTTTTTTCATTCTTTCTTACCTTTCTTCGTGTTCTAAGAAATATCCTTATTTCCTAGCTAAGGTACAATTTCAACTCATGCCTTTGTAATATCCAGAAAGGAGTAATTGACTGCATTGGATTATGAAGCTCAAGCACTGGCTTCAGGTAGTTCAGAGTTAAAGTACATAGTAGACTGTGGCTTGGGTTTCTCTTGCCATGTAGGGCTTACTTGCTGGTTCTTAGTTGCCTCCCAGCATTTTCACACCTTTGAGCCTACTATTTTTATTTGTTTGTTTGTTTGAAGCCATTCAGGTACTGAGAGTTAGCTACAGAAAGAAATTAATTTTAGTCCATGGATGCCCCTGACAGCTGTGACTTTAAAGTCACAGGAGCAGTAAAGATCACAAAACATAGAACGAATGGCAGAAACTGGATATGGATGCAGTCAGTTTTCGCCCAGTTGGGAACACATTCTTAATGCTGTCAGGCAGATAGAGAGATTAGTTAAGTATCTCAAGGAAACAAACTTCGCTTTTCCTAAATGGTCTTTCCATTTTATGAACTCTGCAACACTATTACACAACTTTCCCAAAAAGAAAACCCTGCTCATCAGCATCATTGAAAAGGCAGTTCCCACAATTCCTGAAATGCTTTGGGTTGTAGTACTCCTAGATGAGCTACTGAGTTGGAGTGGAAGGATGTTGAATATGAAGAAACGGAGATGTCCTTCTGAAAATGCTCAGCTAAGCTTGCTTATTTTCTTAGTTGGGGGTGGGGGAGTGAAGCTTAACTATTGTGTTCTAAGCAGAGTGGAAGCAGCAGAGATAGCGTGTATGCTTGGAAAACAGCCTGTTGTTACAAGTGTAGCCTCAGAAAGTGTAAGACCAGGACTCAGTTTGTCTCTTTCTGTAAAGAGAATATATCAGAAAGCCTTCCACAGAGCCAACAAAGGGGAAGTGTTGAGGCTGTGGCACAGCATAGCAAAGAATAAGCACAAGGACAAATACAAAGGGATTTTAGACATCCACTATGAGATCACTTATTGACTGGCTGCTTGTAGTTTAAAATATCTCAGGCTGTCCAGACCTCTTACTGAGTTTAGGTAGGTAGATCTGTTGCAAAGAGAAAACTATAACTTGTTTTTGGGTTTAGAGCATTATTTATATGAATAGTTAAATGACTGACTTAGATCAGTCTTTGTATGGATCCTCAGTAATTGAAAGGTAAGAAAACCATGTATTTAATTCCTCTGCTTGAACTTGCCACTTCTGTCCTTTTATTATGCTCTTTTTTTGCTCAGTTTCTTATTTCTGTTTCAATGACATAAACTAAAAATTGTAACAAGGAAACACTATCTCAAATGCTGCTTAAGTGAATGGGGTACTACTGATTGGAAAACAAGTGTTAATGGTTCATGTGGTAGGTTACCTTGTTGCACTGAAGATGCTGTTCCCTGTTTGTGTTCTTTATCTTAAAGGACCAGCAAATTGGTAGAATCCAGTTATTTTAGTACACTGTAGAAATAATACGTATGACATAATATTTCGAAGAGTAGATTGATTTGGCTCATATCCAGTATGAATAATTGTTTAAGTCATAGAAACAAGTGTGTAAGTGTTTTTCACAGCATAATGTGGTGTCCTGTTTTGAACCAGTGGCTCAGTAGCTGCATGTCAGGACTCTGGAGCGTTCACAGGCATCATGCTTATTTGGAGCATTCTGAAGCTCTCTCTCACTGGGGCAGTTTTTGAGGAAGCTGGCTCAGATGGTTAGCCTAGCTTTCTGTGTGCTTTGCATTACTGACTGGGTTCAGAATATATATATCTATCTATATCTCCAGTGCCTGGGCATACTAAGATTAAGTTTTGAAACTGCTTGACGGATATGTTAAGAATAT